TATAGGAACAATTAAAACACTTTGACAGCAAAAACAACAATGACAACTGTTCGATTGACAGTATGCATTTTATTTACGTCAACATTTTTGTTACCTTATTTACAAGAACATTTAATTACATACACTTGTACAATTCTCAACTCTACAAAATTCACTTGCTCTCTCAACTTTTATACATTTAGAATAAAATGTTTCTGGAATAAAAATTCAAAATCTTTTGAATTTTTTGTAATTTTTTTAGGTCCTAGGCATATATGTAATATTATAGTAGTTCAAAAGTTATGTCTCAGTTTAATGTCATATAAATGTCTGTCAGTCCAATATAGTGTCTATTGGTGTTTAATGTCCAAAATATATTGATTCAATCATTCTACACGTATAATTTAATTATAACTTAGATATAAGTATATAAAGGTATTCAATAATTTTTTTAACAATTAAAATTTTAATTTAAAAATAACTTAACAGGTAACATAATTAATTTATAGAAAAAAAAAAAAGAACAATAAAAGAAAAATAAAACTGAATTTTTATCATTCTGATTTATTACTTCCTTAATAAAAAAACACTATAAAATTTAAAAGAAATATTTTCAAAAGTTCAAAACCCCTCTATAAAATTCTATATAAGTTTATATACATACATACACACATAAACTTGTCACTTTATTAAATATAATTAAAAATAAGAATTGATTTTATCAATGTATGCAAGTATAACATTATGTATGAATATAACCATCCAACCATCTTTTTATGAGATAAATATAACCTGGTATACATAAAAACATACATATATAATTAGTCAAAAAACTTAAAAAAAAATCTAAATTTCAGAAGTGTCTAAAATCATTGCCAATGTCTAAATTTTTAAAAGAACTAATCAAAAAAATAATTAATAAAATAAAAAAAATTAAAAAATAATTAAATGTTTTTTGAACAAAAATAATATTAACCCATTAAACTTTTCCCAAGCAACAATTAATGATTAAAGTTAAATTATCACACAATTTCTATAGAAAACGAAATTCATTCAAATTGTAATTATCAAAAATTGTTCAAATCCATTAAAATATACAATAATAATTGTATTTTAAAACAATTCAGCTTACAAATTCATAAATATATACAATTCAGCAATTGAAATTTATAAGCTGAATTGTACAAAAAATTTTTTTTTCTAAATTGAATTAACATAATATTAATATACAATTCAGCAATTACAATTCATAAGCTGAATTATACAATTAGACAGTATATCGTAATTTTTAACCGAAAGATATAATATATGATATATATGAATGACAGTGTAAGATTTAAATATTTTATGCATTTGCAAAATTCATCTTACTTCAAAATTATTAGCAAATCACTCAAGCATTTTAATTATCTACAAATATATAATTAAGAAGTTTATATTGAATGGAGTTAAAATACAAAGTATTTTTGGATGAAAAAATTCACAATTCAATTTTTTAACACTAGCTATTGTATACCTATATAATAAAAGAATAAAAATAAAATTCCTGTTCTTCACCATGACTTACTATCTTCAACACATACAAATACATATATTTGCATAAATATATATTATAATAATTATATATGTACATATATATAAGAGTACATCATTTGTATAATGATCTCAACATAATTTATCTTAAAAATTTTATACAATATATATTCAACACTCATATATGCATATATATATATATACATAAACACAAAGATGTTAAAGTATTCGAATTGAATTAATTATTTTTTTTTCTCTTTTATTTTACAAGATCAAAAATTCTTTGGTTTAAGAAAATGATCACATGAATTCTATATGACGTCATTTTTATTTGATTGAGAGGAAAAAAGTAATAAATTTTTATATTATAGGTTTAAAACTATTTAACTGAAAGTTTATGATAAACAGATAATTAAACATTTTTAAACTATAAATTTTTTTTTGATATTTTAATTACATAGCTATATTTGAGAAGTATTTTAAACAACATTGTAATAAAAATTATGTACCAATATATATATATATACTTTATATTATAAACATAAAAACTCAATATATGTGTCTAACGTAATTAAAATTTGTTTTTCAACGCATTAACAAAATAATTCAATTCAGCTTATAAATCCTAATTGCAGAATTTCGTATTAATTCGTAATTTTTACTTATATTCAGCTTTTAAATTTCAGCAGTGAAAAAATGCCGTCTAAATGATTTATTTCAGCAATACAAACTGCTGGTTTTCTATTTGATTTACTAATGTAACTATCAATTGGCTAGATGAAACAACAATTAAATATTACTTGATCAAATTGATCGATTACTACATTTCGTTTCGTCAGCTGCAATATATGCAATATTTATTCATTACAATAAAATAGTTTATGTAGATACTTTTTACTTACACACATCAGTATTAATGCTTTAATAACAACAAATTTAAAAAATTTCCTTATAAAATATTTGGCTTAAGGCGAAAATAATACTTAAATTTTATTTTTTTTTCTTTTGCTTTTATAAAACTGATCGGATATTAAAAAATTTAGAAAAAAAAAATTTTTTTTTGCTTTTGCATTTCATATTGGATAAACACAAAATTTCAATGTTAAATACTTTTTATACAAATCATATCTACTTTTTTAGATTAAAATTCCTAATAAGTAATTCAATCAAAGTGAAATATTAATGACATTAGTCCACACCTTATTATATGTCAAAAACTTGAATTAAAAATTCTATTTGAATATTTTCAAGTACAATATTATAATATTATTTTAGTGTTTTTAGGATCATGACTTACTTCAAATTAACAATATTAAGATATCCTGTGACTTAAAAACCTGTAAAAACATCCTGACTACCCAATCTGCAAAAATATTGAAAATATAGAGTATTATTTTGATGAGATAATTTGATACACGTATTGCAAAATAACCCAGACTTTCAAATTGTAGTAACATTGTATTATAACACGATTGAGCTTTTGAATTATAACTGGAGCATAGCCATTTTATAACAACTGTGAAAACTCAAAATTAGGTCTACATTTTTGTGAATGCTTATTATATGCCCTGGCTTTTATATGAAGTATTTATTTTCTACTTTCATGTTTTGTTAATGATTGTATCTATGTACGTATTTTGCGAATAAGTATAAAAATAAAATTTTTCAAATTCTTTTCTTATCTCAAAATTAATAAAAAAATCTATAATAATATATATGTACATAATTTAAATAATATTTATTATTGAAAATTATAATTTTAAATTATCATTGATAACATTCAATTTTTACTATATCCATTATATATAAGTTATATATTCAGAAATCTTATAAATCCAAGTTCATTATTCTGTATAAATATAAAATCTTCTATACTCTCAAAGTAAATACATATTATTATTTATATTTAATAATAATGCCAAAGAAAATATTACAAGCACTGTCATTATAATGACAATGGATAACATAGACATTGCTATAAAATATTTGCATACTAAAGGTCTAAATATTAAGGTCAGAACAAAAGAATGTAAAAAAAAGAAAACAGAGGCGCATTCACATATTGCATTTGAAATTAATTCTTTACAATTAAAAATACCCAGACATTTCAAAATTCCACTAAAACAGTATTAACACCAAATTCAGCTTAAAGATAATAATTGCTGAATTATGTAAAGCAATACTGTATTTTGAACTCATGCAATTAGTAAATAATGAGTGTCTGAAAATTAAATATAAATTAAATCGATGTTGACCCTGCATTTCTCTTGTTTTCTCAGAAACTATTAATATGAAGAATTTAAAAATTAAAATAATTAAATTAATTTTTTCATTCAGAAAAATATTAAAATTCAGAAGTTTTTTATTTTAATACTAGCTTTACATATTATATATTTTAATCACAAAAAAAAATATTCTATTTTAAACTATTTGATGTCAAAATGAATTATCTTCAAATATACGAGTATTGTAATTATTAGAATTCATAATTAAATAGCAAAAAAAAAAGTAGTTTCCTTCATTAAAATGACTTGCCATTTTTATTTACCATTTCAAATCTAATATCGCGAAGGCGTACTATTATAAAAATAAATAAAAAAAAATTACACAAATAATTAAAATTTAAAATTATAAAAAAATTTTAATACTTATTGAATACCTAATATTAAAAAAAAACAGGTTTTCAATTTAAAAAACAAAAATTCACCATCTGGTCAATAAAATATTCGCATAAATATAAATCTATTGTAATATTTATTAGGCATGCATTATTATATATGAAACAAATGGAAACAAATAATTGAACATCTACATACATACATACATACACTTGCAATAGTTTATATTAACCACTTAGAATAAATATTAATAAAATATGTAAAAATTAATTGCAAAAATTTCTAATTTATTATCTAGTAAGTTGTTTAAAAAAAAAAAAATAAAAAAAAATTATGAATAATAAACGAGGTTGAAAACTTTTTAGCAATATACAGACAAAACATACAATAATATAATTAACAAGTGACAAATTATATAACACAGAATATAATTTACACCTTAATCTACTAATTTTACATAAATAATCTGTATTAATTTATATTCCTATGCAATTAATTGAAAAAAAAAATTAAAATTACATTCCTTATTCTAATTTGTGATTGATTCCATATTACCTAAAGCTATTATGACATAAAATTATATCAACAATGGCAACAGTGACAGCAATATTAACGAGTATAATACAAATCACTTTGACATTAAGGTGTCAATGTCAAAAATTTTCTGTTACATTCAATATTTACACATTAGGAACACATAAAACAAAATAACATTTAAAATATTTTCTGTTCAATAATTAAAAAATTTACTTTAGAATTAATACCTTAAATGTTTCTTCAAAAAAATAATTATTTTGTTTTATTTAATCTTAATTCACAATAATAAATATTTATTAATAAAATTCTTTCTATATATTTTTTATTTTATAGATAACGTTATAAATATGATAAATATGAATCTAGGTCGATATTATGACTATTATGTATTAGGTATTTTAACAATCGGTTATATATTAGGAGAATTAGGGCATTATCTAATTGGTGTTACATCAAAACAAACAGCAATTGAATTAGATTATGGTGATCATGCTTGTCAACAAAATCATACAGAATATGCAACACATATGCTGCCAACAGCATGTTCTAAAGCAATGAATGAATCAAGGTATATAAATATAAATGTTTTGTACCCAATAATATTTTATTAAAAAATTTTTTTTTTTAAATTTAGTTGTTACGAATTAATAATTGACGATGCACCATATTGTGAATGGAATTATAATGGACTTGGAATTGCTTATCAATTATTAGCTGGACCAGCTTTTATATTCGTTTTTACAATAGCTGGTGTATTTTTAGGATTTGCAGCTGATAAATATCACAGAGTTAGACTTTTAACTATATGTGTTTTAGTATTTTCGGTTGCTATTATTTTACAAGGTTCCGTTCAAACTTATTGGCAATTAGTTATTTTAAGAATGATAATGGCAGCTGGGTAAGTTATTATTTTGCAAAAAAAAAAATAAAAATCCCAATTCAATTCTTATTTTATTATTTTATAATATTATAGTGAATCTGGATGCAATCCATTGGCAACTGGAATAATGTCAGATATTTTCCCAGAAAATAAACGTGCTTTAGTAATGGCAATATTTAATTGGGGTATTTATGGTGGATATGGTATCGCTTTCCCAGTTGGTCGTTATATTACAAAATTAAATATTGGTGATTTGGGTTGGCGTGTATGTTATTATGGTACTGGTGTATTAGCTGTTATATTTGGTATATTAACTGGTACAACAATAAAAGAACCTGAACGTAAATCAATTGGTGAAAATGAAAATAATAAAGATAGTGAAACAAATGTATCATTAGTTAAAGTATTATTACAACCAAGAATGGTTTTATTAATGATAGCCGCATCAATACGTCATTCTGGTGGAATGACATTTGCATATAATGCCGATTTATATTATAATCAATATTTTCCGGATGCTGATTTAGGATGGTGGTTATTTGCAGTTACAATTGGTATTGGTGGTATTGGTGTTGTTGTTGGTGGTATTGTTTCAGATAAAATTGTATCAAAAATGGGTATTAGATCAAGAGCAGCATGTTTAGCATTAAGTCAATTGATAGCAACTGTACCAGCATTTGGTTCTGTTTATTTTGGACCATTATGGGCAATGATAACATTAGCATTAAGTTATTTCTTTGCTGAAATGTGGTTTGGTATTGTATTTGCTATTGTTGTTGAAATTGTTCCATTGAAATTCCGTTCAACTACAATTGGTGTATTTTTATTTGTAATGAATAATATTGGTGGTAATTTACCAATATTAGTTGATCCAGTTGCAAAATTAATTGGTTACAGAGGTGCTATTATGATATTTTATGCTGGTATGTATGGTATCAGTTCAATATTATTCTTTTTGGTAATGTTCCTATTAGATGGTAAAACAACAACTTCAAATGATAAACAAGTTGATAATCAACAGCAACAACAAAAAGATAGAAATATTTTAAGTAATAATGGTGGTATACCATTGAATGGTTTAACTGGACATGATAATAAAGTATTTATGAATGATGAACATTTAAATCAACATAATAATCCTGATCATCACAATAATTATAATATGCAACACTTTTTAAATCAACAACCACCACCATATTATAACATTAATAATTCATCACCAAATGGTCATAACAGTAGTAAACCATATTCACATGTTAATTCAATAACAATTGATATTCACGGACAAGAAAAACCTGGACCATTAGATAGACCACCATTTGAAAGTAGTAAACTGTGATGAATTTTTAAAAGTTTTATTATTATTTTGTGAATAATTTTATTATTTTTTTTTTTTTTGTTATAAATATCTTCATATAGATATGTTTTGTATAGTATTAGAAAAACAATAATATTTTTATGTTCAGTGCCTCTTAATTATATTATTATTTTGTCCGTTATCAAAATATCATAATAATTATATTGCATATAAATCGTAATACATAAATACATACATATTATTATTCATATGTATGAATTGTGAATATTTAAGAATATAATAATATACAAAAATTGTTAAAAATTCATCTCTTTCCCACCATATTGTATTAATTTTATAATGTCCTGGTTCACATTCTCTTCAGTTGAATGAATTTCTTGAAATTTTAAGAAACTATGAGTAACAAAAATGTTGTTAAAAAATTATTTTAAAAAGTTGTTTTGACTATTTATAATAACAAAATGATTGATAAATAAAACCAGTGATACAAAAATGTTACATTACAACTTCACACTACAAACAAAAATTTTAAACGATGGTAACTCTAAAATTAATTAAAATATTTTAAAAATTGTAATAATTACTTATTGAAATATATTGAAATATCAAACAATACAAATTGTTATAAAAAAAAACATTTATAAATTTCATATTTTTTAAAAAATGAAATATAAAGAATGAACAATGAAAAGTTGACAATCGCGGAATAAGCAAAAAAAGACACGTAGTTATGTTTTAAGCGTTAACAAAAAAAAAAAAATTCATAAATATTTGAAAAGTCATGAAAATTTTACCAAAATAATTTTTATACATAATTATTATTATATCGTTGAGGAAGACATAACATTTTCAATCTTGATATCATAAACATTAATTTTATTTACACGGCAACTCTTATTTCAATATTTGGCATAAGTTTCATTTCCCGATGCATTTTATGCACAAAATTATTTGGTTCAGCAAAGGTAAGGGAAATGTATGTATGTTACAATTGATATAAGAGTCATTTGTGTCGAATAAACAGAGTTAATGGTATTATAAACACAAACCAATATATGAATTTAGTTCATGTCCATGATACATCCTCCATTATTTAAAATGTCTATTATTTCTTCTATTACTTGCTTATTCCTATTTGATATTTTCCATTAAATTTCTGGAAAAAACATTTTTTCTAAAAATTTAAAATAATTTAAATTAACTTTAATTTTTTAAATTTACATTGGGCGTTTACTTAAATGCAAACTAATACGATATCTAATTTATACAATAATTAAAATTTTTTTGCTGAATAAGTGAATATGACCGTTAGACTACAATTATAGAAGACGCCCATTGAAATGACATCTATATACTCAATATTGAATTAGAAAAATTTTAAATTATTTTTTTGTTTCAAATTATAATTAATAATTAGGCTACTTCATGTTAAAAATCGATTTAAAATTCAAAATTAGAAAGTTTAAATTTAATTATTATTTAAATCAAGATTATATTTAATAATAAGAAATTATTGGAATTTTGAAATTTTAAGTAATTAACTTATATTTAAGTGTATATAAATAATTTTCAATAATTTTTGAAAAAAACAAAATCCAAAACAAATAGAATTTTTTTTTTTTTTTAGTATTTATTAATGTTTCAAATTTATATTTATAAGTGGAAATAAAAGAAAAACAAAGAAAAAATTAATTAAGAAAAACAATGCAGTTATTATTTATTTAAAATATATATTATACATATTTTATATAATATTTGTAAACGAATATACTGATATAAAAATATAATTGACTAATATTTCATATATTTTGACATTTGAAATGAATAATAAGTATAATTTCTATTGTTATATTCAAGTAAATTTTAGTACATTACTTTGTATTCTTTAGTATCTATTCTATTTTCGTTTTTGCTCTTTATCTTCATTCATCTACTCATAATTTTATTAACAAAACAAAACTATTCAGATAAAAATTAACAATTATTATTATTCTCTCTTTGCTTTACTCATACTCTCTCTACTAGATTTTTCTTAACTATATTTTTTTCCTCTTCATTTCAATTTTGATTGCCTACCTATGTATTTATATCAATAGAATATAGATAGTGTTATATACATTGTGAACACACACTTTTAAATTAATTTATGCGTATACAAATTTATATGCACAATATACGTACAAATTTATTTAGAAAATTATATTTCGAAAAATATCGCTGATGATTCGCGAAAAATGCTTGAACATTAACAAAAAATATCAATAGTTGGATTTCAAGCGAAGCGCACACTCTTCAATTTTAATTGTTGATTCTCATTTTTGAAATGTAGCTCTTATACATATTGTATTATTCTTGCCATTTAAGTTTATATAATGGAAATCAGTAGAAAAGTGTGTTACAATTAAATACGAAGAAAATTTGAGAGTAGATGAGCACTGAGAACAATATTATTCAAATAAAATTGATTGATTCGAACTTAATGTCATACAAGAATTTGGTTAAATGTAAAAGCACGAACGTCTACCAAATTGAAAAAATAAGCTTTAGAATGAAATCTAGAAAAGTGGATAATTTCTTAGGATCCCATGAAATATATGACAGTATTATTCATGATGTTTACTTAGCACTAAAATAACGTAAATTCGCGACACATATTATTAAACTATACCATAATTCACAAAAATATTTACCAAGTCAATAACGCAGCTCATTATGGAACCGAGCAAATATGTATTATCAAGTTAATTTTTTGAAAGGTCAAGTCATATGACATATGCATTAAAGACTAGTAAATCAAATAGCAGTAAGCAGCATAACTAAATTTGTCCTTTTCCAGATTCATGATGTCCAGTAAATCGAATTTGTAAAAACTGCCAAATTGATTACGCGCAGCTTTTTATTAACTGAAACTGAATTCCTTGTGAAGCCAGAAAAAATGTTGTTCCAACCGCAAAACTAGAGCTGCAAAAAACTGGAAAAAACGGTGTAAATGCTCGTTTTACCAAAAAACTTTCAACATTTTAGCAGTCATGATTCTCTTGAGAAGAATTTTTGAACAGCTTTAACTAGTTTTACTCCCAGTCCAAGCGTTCGTCATCCGTCAACCGAAACCAAAATTGTCGTTAAAATTTGTAAAATCCGGCACCATAAATTTCCGATATGCAAGCTTTTTCAAATTTCTATAAATACAGAAAGCTAACGGGAAATGCCATTCCAACAAAAAATATAATTATTTTTCTTACACTCGATTATTATGTTAACGTCTTTTTAAATTTTTTTGTTTTATTTCAAAGGTTGCATATATTTCGGATGAGTAATGTATTTCAAAGATTGCATACATTACTGATCCCAGATGTATTCAATCTTTGAAATATTTTGGTATACAATGAAAGTTACATAAATAATGTAAGTGATTCTTTAAAAAAAGCGTAATTTTTAGTTCTACTGCAGTCTAGTTGAAGTATATACGACTTAAGTTCTCAAGAACTGCAAATATAAACTCAATCAGAACTAGCACCTATGTTTATACATTACATTTCAAATATGTGTTTCGTTCACGTACCATTTACTCACGAGAGAAATATAACTATAATTTTACTGTCTTAATTTTGTTACGAGATATGCAAAATTCATATGTTAATCTTATTTATCTTAAATTATTGAAAAAAAAAAATAGAATTAAAAGTTTTCATTATTAGTCGCTATATTGAAAAAAATTAAAAAAGCAATTCGACGGATATAAAATTTGGTTTTCTTATCGTTCCATTTCTGGTGCTGTTTTGTAGTTTTACTCGCCAGAATTACAGCAATGATTCTGAAAATTTTCTGAAATTTCAATTTATTCAAAATTTTTATAAAACAAAGAAATAAATGCTAATTGTTAATAATCGTATGTGTGAAATAGTGTTACATAATATCAAATCAAATACATTTCAGTAATTACTGGCTTAATTCTTATACTAAATAAACACATATGATATCTACTTAGGTATAATGTATAAACTGCTAGAATTTAGCATTCAAAAAATCAATTTGGCAATACACTCAGGGGAAACTGGTAACTTTTATAAAAAACATAAAATGTTTTACTCCAAATTCTTTAAAATTTTTATGATTTCGTGCAATTTTTTATTGTTGTAAATGAAATTTGAAGTAATTACAAAAAAAAATTTACACTGAATTTGGTAGACACTTATATAATTTGATTTCTTTTGGCAAAATTTAAATTAACCATACTAAATAAAATTATTTTGTATCCATAACTACTGCCTAAGTACATAATATACATACATTTATGTAGATCTACATTTTCTATAAACAAGTATAAGGACTCTAAAAATCACATGTATATGTATGTACATGCCTCATAGTATAGAATCACAGAAAAAGATATACATATGTATATTGATTTTTACACTGTTTTCTTCAAGTTTTAATATTTTTAGAACTATAAAGATTAATTTTTTAACAAAATACAAAATAATAAATACGATAACAAAATATATCAGCCGACACATTTAAGACTTTAAGCAGAACTTGAAATAATTAGTCACCATATACTATATATTCATAATAGTTGAAATTTGACATTGACATAATTAAGAGAGAAAATTGAGTAATTAATAATATTCAGATATTAAACATCTTTAAAACGCGAAAGAATGTAAATATGTATATGAATGCACACAAGTATGTATGCACATAAAAGAGAAATGGAATCAAAATATCGATTTTATCACTAAAATTTTACATGCGACATCATACACAATAAATTAGGAACTTAGTATCTATCATTAGTAAATAATATATGTAAATAATAAATTAAGTAATACAAATATTAGTACTTATGAACTTATGTAGTATTTTAATGATGACATACACATTTTTCCATTCAAATTTTGTCATATTATGGAATTATTAAAAAAAATATATATACATATGTCGACGTTTCTTGGAAACAAGACTCAAGAGCCTTTTTAATTCTAACAGAATTTGAGAATTTTTTCAAAACATATAAAAATGTTTTATATTATAGAAATCTTGAAGTTGCTATGTAGAACGATAAATTAGTAACTATAATATATTATTTCAAATGAATTATTTAATAAATAATTACATATATAAATATACATAATATTATATGTGGGCATGTACAAATATTTTATTATATAGCCTAGTACGGCTAAATATTTTGATCTCTTTTAAAATTAAATAAAATTAGTATTATTATTTTTATATTAAAATATAATAATTTTAATTACTTTAATAAACTTGAAACAAAATATATTTTTATCAATTATTTGTATAAATTGAACAAAAATATTATACTACAATAATGGCTATCTCCAATAATTTTCCCTTATCATTTCTCTCTTATTATTTAAATTCTGTTCTATAACCAATTTTACTTCCTATTCTCTTCAAATTTCTTAGTATACTAAAATTATTAATAAGAAAAAATTACCTTTTATATATTTTTTTCTTTATTTTTTTCAGAGAACAATAAATATAACATTTGCTTATAAAATAAGCACAAGTCCGTCATTCATATATGTATGTATACTATACTATTTATTAAGTAAACATATTTATAAACATTTTATAATTGTATAAAATCATAAAATAAAAGTGGTAATAAACAATAAATTCTCTCAAATTGCAAAACAAAAATAAGAAAAAGAAAAAATAATTATATAGTATAGTAGATGCCATCTATTGATTCTAAAATGAAACTATAAAATTTTGAGTAATTTTACTTTGAAAAATTTATCACTTAATTAAAAATTTTAGTACAAGGAGAGGAGTAACTCAGATTTTATATGACTCAGATGTCACACCATTTGCTTATATTGCAAAATGATAATGACAGAAACCAAACATACGATGGTTGGTAGGTTTTAGCACAAAGTATAAAAAGAAAAATAAACATTTATAAATTTAACTCAGAAAATTTAGTTTTTTAGTACTAAAAAAAAAAACAAAAAAATCATATTTATAAAAAAATAATAATATTTTAGTATATACATATTATGTACATATGTATATCGAAATATCTATGAAAATAATTCTCAATTTATTTATTGAGTATCAAAAAAAATTTTTGAGACTTTTAGGTAGGTACTCTGAATATTTTTCTTTTAAATGAGAAACCAGCATTAAGAAATGTGTATTACTAAAACTGTGTGCTGTGCACAAATAATTTTTTAATAGATTTGTGATTTTTAAAAATTCATTTTTATTGAAATCATATAATTAAAATTTAAAAGTGAAATTCTATCAAAAAAAAAAAAGACTTTTCTAATATTTTATTTAATAAGTTCAAATATTTATTTAAAAGCAAATCAGTATTAGATTAAAATTTTAGACTAATGAAAAGTTGAAAGATCGAACCCAAAAATATACCCATATATGTATGCATAGAGAAAAAAAGCAAAGAAAGCGAAAGAATATACATTCTTACATACGTGCATAAACAATGAACATATATGTATGTATGTATAAAAGAAGGATGACGAAGAATTTTTGCAAAATGTCGGTCGGAATTCAGTAAAAAAAAAATCTTAATCTTTGAAATTTATAAAGTTTTCTTATATTATGTTGTATAACAACTTTTAATGTGTTCTAAATACATTTTTATCATGTTCAACAAATGTAAATTGTAAAGAAGAAAAAAAACAAAAAGTATTTAAAGCCAGAGTTATATAAAAAAAAAAGTTTAAAGAAAAAACTATTAAAATTATAATAAAGTGACAAAGGGGTAAGTACTTATACCATACACATGTCATATACGTATAATAGTTGGATATATACATATATTGTGCAATATGACTAGAAACAGAAAATACATACATATATGTACATATGGACATTCCTATATATGTACGTATATAGCTGTTTTTGTATTAAATTAGTACTCTTTCATATTTAATTGTGTAATTTTATACTGTTAATAAATGCAAATTTCATTATTTTGTTAAAATACAAATTTCTATATTATACTCTATAAATATTTACTGTTATATTGTGTTAATAAATGCATTTTACATAAAATGCATATTTAAATATGAAGGCAATCTTAAATATTATTTAATTTGTAAGTACATGTGTGTATATACATAAATGTACATAATATATATATATGACATATTTAAATACTTATGTATGTACAACTTTGAATATTCATTACATTGTATGTATTACGATATACAGGGATTTATTGAAATATAGGGAATATTATTAATGTAGTAAAGTATGTAAAATTTTAACAATTAAATTTATAAAATGATGAATTTTCTATGAAATTTTCTACTGCATTGTGCTAACAAATGTACCTACATATGTATGTATGTACATATATAAATATAAGTATACAAAATGTAGATGCATAAAACATAATTTAGAGAAACTAACCACTTTTTTACCTGCATACATACATGTATACATATACATTTACTTGTTTACCCCAATGATAGATAAATATTTTCCCTAGATATTTCTCTAGATAGAAGAGGTGCTATAGTAATAATTTACTATAAAACACCTTTTGCCGTAATTAAGCGAAAATTAATATACATATGTAGCTGTACTCTTTTTGATACCATTTAGATATTAATTTAATAATTTTAAAATTTACGAAACACTATCAATAAAGTGATAAAAAGATTTACTATCGACATATATTTATAAAAATTGTATGTTTTGGTGTGTGTTTCTGCTTTATATGTATATTAATGTTCATATGTATAATATGTATAACATATATATATATATATTTACTAAATTATTATAGTATGTGTATACGCTATTTTTGTATGTGCATTAATTACGTGATCATCTAAAAATAAAAATTGAGAGACTATTCAATATAATTTTTATGATATTCGGCAACATCGCATGTTTTCTTTTTTCTTTTGACACTTTTTACAATGAAACAAAAAAAAAAACAAGGGGCAGTACGAGCAAGTGGATGAACAAAATTATTTTATTGAAAGTTTTTGCTTTTAAATTGGAATACATATGTAAAAATCAATATTAATTAGGTGATCATTTATTTTTTGCTATTTTAAAATGTGAAAATCATTTTAGCTCATATAAATTTTCTTTTGAACCGTTTTCATTTTGAGTCAGTAAATCTAAATTTTGCCGTTTCTTTATATTTAAGTGCTTTACCTAAATGTTAATGAAATCTGATATACGATTTTTTTAATATTTCGAAGTTCTTTTACTTTGCGCGGCAATATTTATTTATTTTCTGTTATAAAGGTTTGTATCTTTTTATTTTGAAAACCGCATACCACGTTCACTTAAATATAGAAATTGAACTTAAGGACGAAGAAGTGAATTCAGCTTAAGTATTTGCATTGTAGACTATTTTAATATTAAATATATAGATGTTTCACAGCTTCTTCCCTTAAATGACAGTTATAGCATTCATTTAAATTCTATAACTACCGTTTGAATCAAGATAAAATTTGGCTACAGAATTCTTTTAATTAGAAAATATTTTTTAAAAACAAATTCTTTTGAAAATTCTTAAATTTTAAAGAATTATATTTCGGAACAGCTGGTCGATAATTTTGCATTAAAACACGAGTGTGACATATCTCTCATTTCTTAAGATTTAAATTTTTCATTGAAAAAAATTATGCATATGACTATCATCCATATGATAAATAAGTTTACTAAAACCAATTTCTTTAGACAGCCGCTTATATTATGACCAAAAAAATATACGGAAATATGACAGAAACAAATGTATTAAATCAATAAATTTGAATATTTGGCGTAAAGCTGACAGCTGAATATACAAACATCTTACATAGACTCTGAATGTTTAAAATGATATGAAATTAAAATACGAGTATGAATGATAATACTAATTTGGTTTCTTTAAATATGTTTTTAATTTGCTTCCTAGGTTTACATATAGCTAGGTATTTGACTTCTAAAACGCAGTATAAGAAGTTTTTACAGTTTAAAAACCGTCTTAATTCAGCTGTAAAACAACTAAAAGCTTTGTATCGCCGTATTGTATGCCACATTGTGTGAAAAAAGCGGTCTCAATTTCTCCATTACACGGTTTGCTTTTGTTTTACGTTTCGACTACGTATTCCATACATTTTAGAATAGTGTTTGAGCTTTTAATCTACATTTTGGAATATATTAATTTGCAAATTTTAAGTTGTCATCACGTTTTGGTAGTCACATATACTCTAATAATTCTTTTTTAGAATTCCTTTAAGTTTCGAAAAATAATAATATTAATTTAGATTTGCAATAACCATTTTTGACAATTTAAACTGATGAGTACAATCCTTATTATATCAAAAAGCAATAACCACTTTCCAGCACTTTGTATACATATATGTATGTAAATTAAACTTTTAAAACTAGTTTTTTTTACATTTACGCTTCAAGATTTAAAAATTTTGTTTTATTCCGTTTTGTTTGAAGTTTCATTTGGTTGATTGAGCTTATTGTAAGTGACTCCGTCTGATAACTGTATGTGATTATATTAAACGAAAGGAAGACATTCTTTTGTTGATTCTCTGAGAATAGAGAAAAATACATTTTTATTTTCATGCGATATTTGGCAACAGCGTTTAACATATGTGTTTGTATTATACTAATAATAATAGGTTAAAGCATTTGGTTGGAAGATAAATTAATTTAAGTAAGAATTAAGAAATAAGTTCTTTAAAATGGCAGATTTAGCATTTTTACAGTATTAAGTGTGTATGTGCGTATGTATATGCATTGAATAATAGATAATCATTCCGGTTTATTCAAATATACCGATATAATTTTTGGCATTAAAATAATCCGTTATCTTAAGAGAGTAGTTAAAATTGTTATTTCGTGAGAACCTGAAATCAAAGTATAATAAGAATTAAACAAAAAAATTTCGATAAATTTATTTTATATAAAACGGAGACAAAACTGATATGTATGTATGTATACGTTATGTATGTATGCATGCGTTACGTACGTATATATTTGAGGAATCAGAAGAAACCAATATGGATGGGTTATTAAATCTGTTTTAATATAAAAATTTAATGCTACGCAATTATTCCAAAGTAATTAAATATTAACGATTGGCTTTTTATAGTTCTCCCATTTAAAAAAAATTATTTTACTTATAGTGTTATCTGCTACAAAAATTATAAAAAAAAAGAGCTCTAACTCTATCGAGTCAAATTTAAAGTGGATCTAAACTTCGTTGTAAGTTCCATAATTTTAAACTTTTAGTTTTTTAGTTTTTGTTTAAATGAAAAATTTGATATAAAATTGCCGAAAAAATACAAAGTTATTCTTATAAATGTCAAAATTACTTCAAACACAAGTGTGAACTTGCATACAAGTAATTTTACATGTATTTTCCCGTTTAAGGTCGTCGATGCAACATTGATGTGCTGTACCTATAGTACAACTATGCGCACAAAATTATGTCAAAAACAATTTATAACTTTTTTGGTACATCTTTTGAGTTGTTTACTATTTTTTTTAGTACAAAGAACTTATAACGCTTTTTACAGAATCCCAGCTTATCTTTTTTTTTTTTTTGGAAGCCGACTGTTTTTGTCGTATAATTTTTCTATATGCTATGTCGTATGCCACACTTATTGTATTAGTCAATAGAAAAGTATGTATACTTTTTCTACTTAAAGTGTTGATAAATTGATCTTTGCAAAACTAGTAGGTTATTAGTATATATCTTCGGTGTGTTTTAATTGAAATTGTGTTTTAACTGAAATATGAATGTAACCTAAATAACAAACGCACACTTGAATATCTATTTTACACATATATGTGACAAAATATAGAATGTATTGTGAAAAACGCGAAATATACACAAATTTCGACTGCAAGAATATATAGCTGGAAATGTAGATCTTACTAATAACTAGAACTTTTGCAAATGTGGTATGTACGACAATCGCCAATCTTTGTATTAGCTTGACTATTACAATTATTGAAAAACAGATTTCAAATTCAAAAACACATTGTTTAAAAACGTAAAACCCCATATGAATGTTCCATGGTGTCAAAATGGCAGATCCAGCACATCCATACTGCATCCACGAAGTGATATAAAAATGTATTTATATTTAATATCAACGTATTTACAAAATATGATTTGAATACTTTTGAAACGTTCGTATATTTCAACTTATTAAAATTTAACAAAAAAATTAAGAAAAATTTATCTTCGATATTTTATTTGGAATGAAACAAGAGAGTATAAAAACGCAATTTTTTTCAGATGAATATTCTAACAGACGTATTAAATAAACTAAATATGCATTATGTTATACGCAATATCTTGCAAACGGATAATTTAATTAAAGATATTTTTATCAAAAGTTTTACGTAAACACTTAAATATGTATCTTTTATACAACCAGTTGAAAATAAGAAAAGAAAACTAAAAATGAACTCTAAGAAGTTAGAACTTTTAAAAATAATTAAAGAAAAAAAGACCTTGCTGTTTCCTAATAACACGACAACCGTTGCAAAGCAAACATCACGAAGCGCATGGTTAGAAGTTTTAATAAAAGCTCAGTCTCTACATTTAGTTGGACCAGAACGCAAGTGGACATATACAAGGGATTTTTTATTGGAGGAATGGAAAGCAGTTACTTTGGTAAGTACGCAAGTCCAACTCTAAAATAAGCCGTAATCCTATATTTCAAATTAAGATGAAATGGTTTTGTTTTATATAATGCTTAAAATAGTTTGATGGTAACTGCTTAA